ATAATTTAGAGCGTATAGGTTTCACAAAAATATTTATTTACAACATAATCAAAATAGAGATTTTACAAAAATTGTTCAAAATATTCACCATTTTCACGCATACGAAGATTTGTACGTCGAAGAAAATTAAAATGTATCCATAACTTCTTCATCACCTCTAAGATTGTTTATTGAATCTTGAATACGTTGCCAGAGTTGTTCCTCATTTTCTACAGGTTCCCTGTAAACTGTGGATTTTAGATGTCCCCATAAAAAGTAATCCATCGGTGTTAGGTCTGGAGAACGTGATGGCCAGTTTACAGGTGCGTGACTACCTCTGCCTATCCATTTATGTGGATATTGTTCATTCAAGTGGTTTCTAACGTTTAAAGAAAAATGTGGTGGAGCTCCATCTTGCATAAACCACATATCTCTCCGAAGTTGGAGAGGTTAATCTTCTAACAATTCTGGCAACGTATTTTGTAGAAAATCCAAATAATTTTCTCCAGTTAATCTTCGTGGAAGTATGACAGGACCAACAATGAAATTACCAATTATTCCAGCCCACACATTAATTTTGAATTCGTGCTGAAAATGGTTTACCTTTATTGCATGCGGATTTTCAACGGCATAAACATGTTCATTATGGGTATTAGTTATACCTCTTCTTGTAAAACCCGCTTCATCGGTAAAGAGAACCTTCTTGACAAAGTTTGGATCTCTTTCTCTTTGCATATTAACAAATCGACAAAAACCCAAACGAATTTGAGGATCATGGACTAATAATTCTTGTACTGGCTTCTTATGGTATGGATATAGCAATTGTTCTCTAAGCACTTTATGAACGACATCTTTACTTACTCCTAGTTCCCTTCCAATTCGTCTGGTGCTTAATTCTGGATCTTCTTCAACACGTTCTAAAATGACTTCTTCAACTTCAGGAATCCTTACAAAACGTTCTCTTCCATTATCAACAGTGTTGGGAGCAAAGGAACCGGTCTCCCGAAGACGTCTCTCAACAGCAGCAAAAGTTGGGTGGCTAGGTACACGACGATTTGGAAACCTTTCAGAGTACACCCTGACAATCTCTCGAGCATTTTCTTCACAAAATCCTAATGTCAGTAACATATTGGTATATTCTGCATTGGTATATTGTACAGCCATATTAATAAACCACGCATTTGTTATTTTAATTATTGAGTCAGATAGAATACTTTCAATCGTTAACAAGAGATTAGGTGTTAAAACTTGACAATATTTTTATTTAGATGAAACTATGGAAACCAACAATAAATGTTTTTGTATACGTATTGCAGGCAAATAATTAATATTTCTCAAAAAATCGTACATGGCAAGAATCGAGTATTTTTGTTAAAAGTCTCGATTAGAGGTGTTGAAGAAGATATGAAAAAAGTACATTTTTATGTTTTTCATCGTATAAAATTTTGTCCGATAATAATATATAGGCGTAGAACTTGATTTTTTAAATAATTGCACCTTTAAAAATTCTACGCCAATGGCAAAAAAGGGGTTTGAGTATGAAATTTGGATTGGCATTTACTACAAAAAAGTACCCTTGATAACACTCGATTTACTCTCATGGTTTTGACAAAGTTTGTATTTTAATAATTATTGTTTATGTTCTAAAATTACTAAAATGCAAATTTCGTCAAAACCATGAGAGTAATCGAGTCTTATCAAAAGTACCTTTTTTAAAGTAAATGAGTTGCGCAATCTAAATTTCATACTCAAACTCCTTTTCTTCCATTGGCATAGAATTTTTAAAGGTGCAATTATTTAAAAAATCAAGTTCTACGCCTTTGTATTATTATCGGACAAAATTTTAATACCATTTTTTTTGCCACATAAAACTCTACCAATATACAAAATTTCAGCAAAATCGCATATGCCGTTTTAAATTTATATGGGAAAAACGATTTAAAAATTGTAACTTCAAGGCCCTCTGGAGCCCAAACGAAGCAACTTTGTACTAAGGTAATTTTACTTAAATCGACTTATTTTGGTCTAAGGAATATGTGGTATGTTTTTGTAAAGACCTTTTACAGACACCCTGTATATTATTTCATAGTAGATTCATTAGAGTTAAATTATGCTCAGTTGCAATTCCATGAATAGTTATCATTGACCTCTAGGATTATATTCAACTAAGTCGCATTCCTTGTAAATCCAACACTTTTGTCACCTTACGCGTTTTTCTGCTGCATCTATTATTTAACCTTAATTTATAAATAGGAGTGACACAAATTTCAATTTAGTTTATAAAAACTCACCTACAAGAAATATTACTTTATAATTTTCAATAATAAAATATATTTTTTAAAAAGTCTTTAGTGTTATCCTACTATATTAAATTGCCAATGTATGTCTGTCCGTGCCGTGATATTGGGATAGAGAAAGCCAAAACCTTATCGGACTCAGATATAAACTAGGGACATTTAAAGAAGCAAAATGACACACACCAAAATCATAATACATACTTTTGTGGTTCCCGAGATATAGAATTCGGTCGAAAATTTAAATGAACGAAATCGCCTAGAGGCCAAAGATTACAAATTACGGCCTACTATATTAAAGTGCCAATTGTCTGTCTATCAAATTACCGTTGTTTATCAACACCCAACACACGTTTCAATCAATAAGCAATCAACTATGAATTTCTCGATGAATAAACTTCCGGAACACCTGGATCAAGCATCCTATGAATCCATCTTAAATCCTGAAGGTCAGCTTGAAAGAGAAGTGATCACCAAGTTTTAACAATGGGTGGCATCACAATTTCAAATTAAGGCTGCGTTTATTCATCCAAACTACACAGCCAATTTTTATGCCTTAAATGTAAATGCCCTCGACCAGATCGAAGAAAATACAAACGCGTATCCGGCTGCACCTTTTCTAATGGGCGATAATGAATTTGAAATACTATTAGTACCATATCTATGATAAAGACGGGGTTGGCGGACATACATTTTTCCATTTATACGATCCTAAGCCCAAGTTAGACGAGAATAAGAAGCCACTTCTGGACAATGATCATCAATGTATTCTTCGTCATATTTTTAAGACCGTCAAGCATGGAATTCAGTTACAAGGTACAATATCTCTTCCACATGGGAATTACAACAAACAAGCTAATGATGGCTATTTCTTCTGTGGTGTCTACATCTGTTACTATGCCAAAGAATACCTAGAAAACCGGACTATTCGATTTCAACTAGACTTTGATGTGCAAAAAGAATGCCAGCTACCCATATATACAGCACCGAAAGTGTCAGATTAAGTAAAATTGCAGCAGAATTAGTAATACAATCAAGTATCGAATCACTTAATGAGGAAACTATAATGAGTAAGCGCAAACGAGAAGCAGAACGACGAAGCAATGTTACTCCGCAAGAAATGGCTAAACGACGAGCTTATGATCGAGTAAAAATTTTACAACGACGAATTCAAGAAATGCCGGAACAGATTGAAAATCGTCATGCAACGGACAGGACAAGGGCTTCACGGAGCCTTGTTCAAGAAACACAAGAACAAACTGAAAGACGTCGGGAAGAAGACCGCCGTAGAGATGTACGTCTTCGTGAAGCTAGAGCTGCGGCAAATGGACCTATGTATAAGATGTATAAGGCTGCGATGGACTGAAACGTTGATTAACACCGTCTGAGCCCATTCAACAACGAGTGCTCCATTCAGATTACCGAGCGATTCACTTTTCTGAAGAAAATATTGCGCACTTCAAAGGAATCTTTTACGTTTGCTGCAATCATGGAAAAGTCAATCTCGAAGAGAATCCAATTCCAGAAGAACTCGAAGCGCTATTTCTAAAGAGGCTACGATTACATCGCACTTTTCACGAGAACATCCGCCGATTGAACAGTAGCCTTTCGCATCAATCACCGCCGTCAACGTGGCACCGGCTGGAGGAATCTACTCTTTTGCCCTCCAAGGAATAATCTATCATCAATTCAAGTCTGCTATAAAGCAATTAATGTCAAGACGAACATGGTCAAGCAAAAATGCCACTCTATGGCGCTTTTTACTTTCTTGGCCCAGCTGAAGCCATTAACAATCGTTTGATTTACAACGACAACGAGAGCGGACGAGAAATATTCGAACTTTTAGAAAGGATCATAAGAGAAAACAACCAATTTGCCCAGGCATACCGGATGATGAAAGAATTAGAAGAAGAAACCATTCAAAATTCAGAAGATCAAGGAATCAATCCGCCACAATTAAAATTGGTATTTGATAATCAACATCGTCAAACCATAGATCGCTATCGCTAGAATGTGCCAGCCGTGAACGAAGTAGCTGCTGTTGTTGTCCTCAATGCGGATCAATCTCTCCTAGATATACAACTCATAGTGCACATAAAGAACGCACCAATCGACATAATGAGCAACATGAGCGACTTGATCGAGCCATTCGTATATCCGCTATTCTATCCAACTGCACGAAGGGTTATCGAGTCGAAATTCCGTACCAATATACAGAAGGACAAAAGAAAATGAAATTTGTTACTCGTTCACAATTCACTAGATATCGATTAGCAGAGCGACCACTGGAAGGCACAAAGCAAGTAAATACTATTTAAGTTCCACCTGATGCAAGACGATCCTCGCGTTTAACTGTTTAACGACAAGTGGCAAGAAATCTTCAGCAAAAAGGATTTTTCAACCCAATACATCATGGTGGACCATTATTTCTACAATGGTGCATTGATTCGTGGATTCGTGTAGAAAAAGATAAAATCCAATTCATCAAAGATAACCAAGACAAACTTTTGGCGCGTTGTTACGCCAATGTCGACAAGTACCTTGCAAAGCGAGCAAAGGAAGGAAACGCTGAAGTTTCAGGGAAGGTCATTTCACCATCTTCGTTCACTGGATCTCCCCGTTGGTACTCAGAACAGTATCATGATGAAATGGCACTCGTCCAACGCTTTGGAATGCCGGATTATTTCATTACCGTGACTTGCAACCCAAAATGGCCGTAAATCATCGATGCTTTTACCACATGAGTTTGAAGATGGAAGGAAACTAAAACAGGACGCTAATTTTCGTCCAGATATTATCGCTCGAGTCTTCAAACTAAAATTGGATCAACTTATTGAAGACATCTACAAGAACAAGATATTCGGAAGACCTTTGGCTTATGCATACGCCATTGAGTTCCAGAAGCGAGGCCTACCACATGCTCACATCCTCTTGAGTATGCATCGTAAAGATAAACCTCAATCGCTGGAAATAATAGACGACATTATCTTGGCTGAAATTCCAGAAGAAGGCGAAGAGCTGCGCAAAATCATCCTAGAACACAATATGCACAAACCTTATGGACATCTGGATCCAAACTCTCCCTGTAACTATTCTGACAAACTGTGAACCAGAAAATCCACTTATGGAATATGTTCAAAGAAGATCTGGCGGGAGGACTTTATTCGGTTCAACACAGAACGTGGACTACCAATAGAAGATGCGATTGCAAGGGCCTATCGAATTATTGCCACCGGTATACAAGAAGAAGCAAAAGGATGGTCGAAGATTTGCAGATTGGGTGAAACGATATGGCTTTCCAGATATAGAATCATTTGAAACTGAAGACCATCAAGAATTCATCTCAGCCAGTGATGCAGCAGTAAAAGGACAAACAATGTATGCAACATTGCTTAAAGAACAAAGGAATGCGGTCAACACCATTTTAGATGCGGCTAATGGAACACAAACAGAGAAATGCTTTTTCATCGACGGGTGCCGGGTGGAACGGGCAAGTATCTTTATTATCTGTTGATTGGCGAAGGAAGGCGAACTAAAAATATGGTCACAACTGGAATCGCAGCAACGTTGTTACCTGAAGGAAGAACCGCCCACAAGACTTTCACACTAAATGTACCTCTGGGTTCCGATTCTAAGTCAGAGATCAAGAGGGGTTCGAAAGAAGGTGACTGAAATAGATGTTTTCTTCCTGGATGAAGCTCCCTTGTAACCGAAGTATGGTATCGAAAATATCGATGAAAAGCTACAAGAATTACATGAAAATTGACTGTCTTTTGGACGAACTGTTGAAGTATATCGACGGTTAAGAAGTGAAGCCTCTTATCTACATTATCTGAGAAATGTGACACCTCGTATCTGCAGGTTTGGCTAATATTAGTCAATGGTGCTAAAATACTCAGAAAATAATGATGCATCGTTTACACTATAACCTCGTATCTAAATTTTCATAGCTTGTGCGTAATTCAACCATTAGTGATACCACGCATGTGCAATCGTGAAAAACAACTGGTGAGAGCTCGTATCTGTACAGTCTCTGTGTGAAATTGTAACGGAACAGTTACTCGTTTGTGGCTGGTGCACTTATTAAAGGTAATTTTAATGATTATTTTTGTAATATAATATCAAGCTTAGATCATCCTGGCTCAGTTGTCGTCACTTTACCAATTTAAAGCAGTGAAATTACGTTAATTGTTCGATTTACTTAATAAATTAGTAATATTTCCAGACTATACAGATACGAGGTATCTCATTTCTACTGATTAAATTACATAGTAATTTTTTGCCTTTAAATTGCAGAATGGAAAAACATGGTGTTTTCCAAAAATTATTCAGCTCGAACAAATAAAATATTTAAAAATCTTCAGAATATTAACATTACGCAAAATGAATCAATGGGATCTTCTTTGAAAAAATATGAAAATGAGCAAATTAAAATGTGTGAATTGCCAGTTAACTTGGATGAATGTAGATGGTTCGATGAAGAAGGAAATGAGCTAAATAGTAATAATCTGCAAGCAGATTGCATTCTCTATGAAGTTCAAGCACTATATAGAGCCTCAATCAATAAAAATGCCTGACGTACAAACGAACCCAGAAAACCTACCTTCACTAGATTTTTTGTTAGAAAATAATTCTGAAACTACAAAACCTGAAAGCCTTCCTAACCAGCTGGCAAATACACAAACAGAAATTGAGCTGGACACTACACTAAATGGAGAATCTATGAATCTGCCTATCCTAGACGATTTGATATTACAAACTCAGTCTGAAATTTCCCATGATTGTCTTCCATCAAATGAAGAAACTTACTTAGACACTGAAAACCTGGAAGAAGACCTTAAACCTAAAGAAGAAAGAACTATAGGAACAAAAAGGCGTAAGGTGGTACAGATCCTAGAACAAGGTTCGGAGTCTTCTGATGAAGAAAACCTAGAAGAAAGAACTATAGGAACAAAAAGGCGTAAGGTGGTAGAGATCCTAGAACAAGGTTCGGAGTCTACTGATGAAGAAAACCTAGAAAAAAAGCGATGTAGAATTACAAATAAGAAAGAGTGGTCAGACAAAAAGAATAAAATGTTGAGAGAACAGAGGAAAGCTTATAAAGGTTGGAGTAGACCCAAAGCTATTTCTGAAGAAAGCCGAAGTGCACACTTTTCAAAAAATTCTGGTCTCAAATGAATTGGGACCAGAGGAAAATCTACATTTCTTCATTGGTTACGAAATCTGAAACAGCTAGGTCAACAAAGTCTCCCGGAGAAGTTTCCAGGAGAAGTTCGACATTTAAATACACCATTAATATCAATGGTCAAGTATCGCGTGTATGTAAAAAGATGTTCCTTTCAACTTTTGGTCTAAGAGAATGGAGTGTCTTGCAGTAGGCCAAAACCTCCGAGTCGGGTATTCATCCTTCCAGAGAAGTATTAAATAATAATGTGAGAGCGGTATACAAAACACAGGGATGTAGAACTGACAGTGGGGTTGTGAAAGTCATTCTTATAGAGTTTCTAGAATCTTTAGAAAAACTTCCGTCATATTATTGCAGGGCATCCACAAACAAGTTATATTTAGAGCCCATTTATGGAAACTGTATGTCTGATGTTTATAAAGAATACTTGAAATACAGCTCTTAAAAAAAATCCCGCTATAAAGCATTTATGCAGATACATGTTCTATTGTACTCTAAAAGAAAGGAACATTGCATTCCAAACCCTAAAAAAGATAAATGTGATACCTGTTGTTCTTATGAATCCAAAAACTTAGATACTCAGATCTATGAAGAACGCATTAGGAGAAAAGAACAGGCAAGAAACGAAAAAATAGGGACAAGATATGGAAGCTGTAAAAGTGTGTCCATATCTTAATGCTTCAGCCCTTTATTACAAGACAAAATTAGTTTGTCATAATTTTACAGTGTTTGATATAAATACCCATCACTGCGTGTGTTACTGGTTTAATGAAATTGAAGCCGATCTGACCGCTAATACTTTTGCTAGTTGCATTGTCAATTATATTTTACAGCTTGAAGACTTGTCCAAACCTGTAATAATATGGAGTGATGGATGTACTTACCAAAATAAAAATGTTGTACTGTCGAATGACTTGCTTAGCCTTAGTGTGCATAAGAATACTACAATTTACCAGAAATATCTTGAACGTGGACACACTCAAATGGAAGTAGACTCAGTCCACGCTGCGATAGAGAGAAATTTGAAAAATAAGTCTATATATTTACCAAGCGACTACTTTAAAGCTACAATGGACGTAAGGAAAAAAGACCCTTATTCAGTTAAGAACATTCATTTTGACTTTGCCAAAAATTACTCTATATCTCCTAAATTTGACTCAATAAGACCAGGGTGGAGAGTGAATAATCCTACAGTAAGGTCAATAAATATACCCCTGATAACAACATTCAAGTGAAACTTGATTTTATCGATGATTTTCTCTTCCGCAGAGACGAGTGAAGAAGCCTGTACCTGATTTACAATCATTTCCACAATTACGAAGAGCGCCTATAAAAATAAAAAAACAAAAATGGGAACACCTTTAGCAACTTAAAGCTGTAATTTCCCAAGATTGTCATTCGTTTTATGATAATTTATCACATTTGGATTAAAAATTTAGGGATATTAATGATACTGACAAAATGATTTGACAGTTATTTGTCCGTAATAAGATTTCCGTTTCGATTTTAGTTAGTTTGCAATGTAAATTCCTTCTGAAGATAGTATTAGGGATAAAAGTTGGATATTTTTTTTATTTTGTATTTTACAATGTTACATAAAATAAGTATTTAGTTGATTAGATATCAGTTAAATCGGATATATATGTATTTTTTTATTTTTTTAAATAAATTTTTTGGTAATGAATGTGTTTTTTTTTATTAAATCAAACAGTTGTCATTGCACGTATCTACAAAGTTTTATCAATTTCAATCAGGTGAGATCTAGTATCTGCCTGAATAACGGACAGAGAAATATTTTTTAAATTTTATCATATAGATTATAGAAATATGTTATTTTATCTTAGTTCAAAATAACAGAAACTCTACCTTAAAAATAAATTATTTAATGGGTTTTTGTCTCTCCTGTAAAGTACAGTTTTTGCAAATACGAGGTATCACCATTTTCAGAAAATATTGATACGAGGTTTCACTTCTTAACCGTCAATATGGTGCCGACTTTCGACAATGCCTACCGGTCCAACCAAGAGCCAATAACTCGGAACTCATGGATTTATTAATAAAGAACAGCAGAATACGGCGTCACTTCAATATTCATAAGCTTATAGAGAAAGTAAAAGTTGAAAAGTCTTTTGGTAGGTAGAGAGGGGGTAAACGTCAAACAACGTCGGGCGGCTCCGAGAATTTCACAGTAATGTTTACCTGCCAGTGTCGTTTCATAGAATAAGTAATTTTAAATTGTTATCGGCGGAACCGGACAATCGCATGTATTTATGGATTATAAATAATTATTAAACATGTATTATAATATTCAAATTATAATTTTACAAAATTTCAGCAGCTATTCACAATTTATTAAACTATTTACTCGAAATTGTTATTAACATCTATAAAATAATTTTGTACGCCAATGTATCGCGTCCACTTCGGTGAGATCCGGTGCCAACCTGTCAATTTATGTGTATAAAGTGGGAGAACTGGCAAAAGCATTTCCAACTTTTACTTCTGTTCTACAAAGAATATGCGAGTAGAAGAAGATGAAGTTGAATGAGCCAAAGAGGTGTTAGCGATAGGAGCCCAGACAACACACCAAATCCCAGAGATATCCACAGAATATCTTTTGTGGATATCCAATATATCCACAGGATATCATAAATATCTCGTGGATCTAATATGGATATCCAAATGTCCGTCTATGTCCAGGATATAGAAGATATCGTATGGATATCCAGCAAAATATCTAATGGGTATCTCCCAGACAATACACGAAATCCCAGAGATATCCACAGAATATATTTTTTGGATATCCAATATATCCACAGGATATCATAGATCCACTGGATCTAATATGGGATATACAAATGTCCGTCTTTATCCAGCAAAATATCTTATAGGTACCTTTAGTAGAGGTTCATAAGTAACCAGGTGGATATATTCTATAGATGTTTAACATATCCAGTGTACATCCATTATTTGATATATTTAAGATATCGAAAATTATATGTCTATAGGGTGTCGTATTTAATGCTTCATTAATTTTTTTTTTTTTTGAAAGATAAGTATTGTTCCACTTTCAAAAATAAACAAAATGTCAATGACAAGTTAGAAGAGTAATCTATGGTTAAAAGTTCATCTGTGGATTCTTTGGTTAAGTTTTTCGCCCATAAAAACTAAAAATGGAGTATGAAATAATAATTTCACCAGTAGCCCCATCTAGAGTTTGGAGTCAATTAGGCATTCCAAACAAGTCAACTGCCAGTGGGAAGGTTTGGCATATCTAAGGGTTGCGACATACGATGTATTCTATCTATTATACCTAAAATCATGAATAACGGATTACATTTAAATATTTTGTGTCAAACACAATAAAAATAATATTTAAAAAATCCCGCTTATACATTTCTTCATAAATTGGCAGGCTTGGCGACTACTATTTCGAATAAAAATAGCGTCCAAGATACAAAACTATGTCGCTACCCCCTTATATATACAAGAATTTCCCACTGGCACCCAGGGGCTGGTAACTCAAATGGAAAAACATGAGGTTGGTAATTTAGTACCACTCCAATTAACGGGATGGCGCTCGTATCGAAATGTCATGTCAGTTGTCAGCTCGTCAAAACTTCAAACTTAGAGAAATTAAAATGGCTATTGTATTTGAAGGTGTATTGAATTTTGATTCATCTAGAATCTAGATTTATTTTTCAACACCTTCCAATTTTAAGCATGTTTTCAAAAGATGGGAAGATGGATTTCAGCAACAAACAATAAAGCACTCCCAGATATTGGTAGTAATGCAATTTATACCACATTAAATATGCAGTCGTTCCCCAAATTGTAATAAGTGTCTTAAGAAATATGCACCACCACTGTACCAACGGTAAGTAATATTTACAAACTTGTATTTGATTCAGTGTTAAAATAATTGGTTTGTTATTCAAATTTCTTTTTGTTTTCAGTTTTTAAATGATCATTTTTGTAAAGAAAATGTTGGCCCTCCAAAATACCCTGTCGATCGATGAAATATTTGAGCCTCAGCCATCAATATCAAAAATTGATTCAATGCCATTGACATCAAACAAGAAAACACCCTAAAATCTTCAATGTTCCAAACGTGTGTAAGTTTAATTTATGCTCAAAAGTTAAATTTATTTATCACAGTGCCCACATGATGAATAAAAATTTGATAACTACAAGTGCTGTATAAATAAATTAAGAAAACAATTATCGGATGAAGAAATGCTCCTCAACCTAACTAGTCAACTCAATAACCGTATGGAAAATTTTATCCACACTCAAATTTGCCTCGATAGTAAAAAAGGATGATGCTTCAACTTCAATTTTTTCAAACTTATTTGCCACTCCAAGTCGCAAAACTTTTATAAAGGTCTTGAGCACTTATATATGCTGATTTTGTTACAGAAAACATTTTTGATAGGTTTGTTTTATAAATATTTAATTATTTAAATGGTGTAAATGCATATTTGTTTGAGTATTTCCATGTTTAAATAGACAAATTATATAATGCGGCGTTAATTTACTGTAATAAAAAAAATAAAATAAAGTGCATTTTATTTCAAGTTTGAAATTAATGCAAAAATATAATGAAGTAAAATCAAATAAAGATAAAAATTGGCAAATTATTTGACTAGTTTCAAATCACAAAACAGTCAATATGGTTGTTTTATAATTTAAAACTAGTCAAATATTTTTCCAATTTTTTTGCTTTATTTGATTTTCTTCATTACATTTTTGCGCTACTACAAAGTTAAATTTCAAAAAGCCCGCTAGTGGCGGCCATATTGAATTTTAGTACCACTCCAATTTGATAGATGGCAGCACATCGACTCAGAATTTTACCATTGAGTTTCCCATCTATTCACATTAGTAATCTATGGTTTAGCCCACTATGGCTGAGTTCGGTTTGGTGTTCGCTGTACTCAGAGTGCACTCGGTATGCCTCGATTGTGGTCGCCTTGGCACTCAGAGCGTACTC